TGGCATCCTACGGTATTAATATTTAACTTCAACCAATCCATGATATTGTGTGACCATCTTGTTGGACTATCTTATAATGGTTTTCAACGAAGATTGTTTCACTTGCACGGTTATTTTCATATTCCATTGAGAATCAATGTATGTTTCTTATCATTTATCCATCTTATACTTTGTATTTTTTTGACAAAAAATCATGATCAGAGTTGACTTGATTTAATGTTATGACCACATCATATACGTGATTTATACAAAATGATAAGATTTATCAGTTGATACAAATAGCTGATCTACAACATACCTTATCCATTTTAAACTAACTAATTCATAGATATGAAAAGAATAGTTGTGTACAATACCACTGTGGTATTGAAAATAAGTAATTAGTGCAGTGAACAATTCATATTTATCGTTAAATAAAAAATCTATGAACAAATTCACATGAAGAAAGCACTGAAAACATGTATGAATGAAAGTGTTAAAAGTAGAACAGTTAACTGTATTCAAAAGCAATGATAGAAAAATGTTTTTTGAAGTATTAGGAAAGTTTGTATTGTGTCTAGCAGGGGGATTAAAGACGAAACACGGCTTGAATTCCCAACGCTAACCAAAATCCAACTTTGTTAAAACTTTGTACTCTCAAGGTGATAATATGAAAGTTTGTAAATAATTGATGTATCGCAGCACAGACGGATCAAATTCAGTCCATAATAACAGTAATGGGAAAACCTAAACCATGATATATATAGTAAACACTGCGAGTCATATAACACTCATAATGTTCATAAAAGAATATCAGCACAGTAGTGCACTATTCTTGATGGAAAGAAAATGAATGATAAAATTTTCGAAATTCGATAAAATAAAGTTGATAATCGACTTTCAGAAATAGTCTCTTACGGCTTTGTTATGTAACTGTCTGTCCATCATTTAATATAGCCGAAATTTTAATGACTACACTTTAGACTTCGACATTAAAAAAACACCTATGAGTAGGTTGCAGAAGAAAATATGGCATCAATAGACTGATTATCATCTACGGTTACTTACAAGAATCATAAGTCAGTAATCAATTCTTGAAACAATTTAACCGAATAAATAATCTTATTTTTCCTAATGACTCACTATCATTCATTAAGTTGAATTTGTGCTTATAGTATATTTCTTAAATCATTTGTTTTTACCAATGGTATTATTACTACTATTTTTGTTCGCACTCTTATTTTATATAAATAGATTTTCATCGCAAAAATATTCATTGACTTTAACTAAAAAAGGATGTGAAGTTGTATGTTTCTTTGTTGTCTTATTCTACTAATTTACTATCTTGGTTCAAACTTCTGCTTCATATTCTTCAATGAAATTTGATCAATCGTTTGCCTGATACAATCTTATTCATTATAAATTTGAATTGTATCCAAGTGATAATAAGTTATGAAATCAAAAGAATTTCACCTACTTTATAAATCTTATTTATTTCTGTTCTGTTCAATATCTATCTAAATACATAAATAATTGTGATATGAACAATTTTCCATTGTTAGTTAGTTAGATTCCACAAGCAGATGGTTATCAGGACTCAGTAGCTAAGTGGATAACGTGATAGCGTTTGAAGAGAACGGTACTTGACTCGAGTCCCATAGTGAACATCAACATGCAGTTACATCCAGCTGACCAGTCATAAATAGGACGAAACGCGCGTCCTGGATTCCTCTGCTAGCCACTATTCATGTTTGCTTAAAAAGTTAGATTAGTTTGAAAAACTTCAATATTCAATTTGCTTATGATAAATCTGACCACTTCATATTTATTTTTAAGAAACATTCGACAAAAAAAATAATTTAACGAATTCTATATGTATCTACTGATAATAAATAAGAATCAGGGTCACATAACATGAGAGAAAATTAAACAGACAAAGAATTCTTTCTCCTGAAACTATTTCATTATTCATAACATACAGAATAACATCATTTGAAAGTATTTTGTTTTGTTTTATTGTTAAAGTGAGGTCATTTCGACAGATAGAGAATGTTCATATAAATTGTATATTGAGGTCAATGAGACTAATCGATCTGTCAAATAGGGGTTTCTTAATATTTGCTTTCATATAAAATGTTTATTTTTGTGCATATTTCACGCATATCGATGACAAAAAGAAAACATGTCATAAAATAAAATGCTAAGTGAGTGTAATCCTTCTTATTTGACATTTACATTTAAATTAATTTAATTTTTGGCCTTAATAAAAAAGAATATGCGTAAAAAATAAACATTTCACAAGGAAAACAAAGAATGCAGAAAAACAACAACCTTTCTGGTAATTCATTTGTCATTTCCAAGACATAGGAAAAGTATTTAATAGACCGATGGCTTAGAAACTGAGGTGTCTGATTTATAGCCATTAAATTTCAAATCTAAATCCCGCCACACTATACTTCAGTTTAGACAACCACGTAGCACCGTTAGCGATCATACTAATAGTGTAGCTAGTAATAAAGTATCTGGTGAATCTAATTAAGAATAAATGATGTATAATTAAAGACAATTGAGTAAAAGAACGTAGAAACATACATAGACAACTGATAATGATAATAGTATGAAATTATGTTTTATTAATAATTGCTATTACCAAATAATCATTGAAAATGATGAAGTACTCAACAGTTTTCTGTAACTTGGTTCTCGTCAAAAGTTTGTACATTCATGCTGGCGCAACCTTACACATGCACAGAAATAATTCTCCAAATGATATCACTTCAGAATTCAAGCTATATTCAAACTGAACTATCAATAAAAACTTCTTCAAGAAAATCATGTTCTCACTATTGGCTAAATTTGAGACTCAGATAGAAGGGTTTACTGAAGAGTTGTAACTCGTGGAGTTCAACCATGTCGAGGTAAACTAAACAGTTGTGTTGGATGATCACGAATTGATCAAGGTAGAAAATAAGTACAATTAGATTCGAATTCATTGCTTGTGACCAAAACGTTTTAGGTGGAGCTATGAATGCTCATAGCTCATGAAGATTAAATTAATAATAGTTTTTATTAGGAATAGATATTAACTGCAAAGAAAAGTCTAAAACTAAAATTACTGGACACTTGTTCTATAATAGTTTAAAACTACCTAAAATTTAAACATTAACACTTCTGATTGAGACCATGAACCGATTGATGTTAGACCACCATTGAAAATCTGGAAGCACTGGACGGTCGTTTCGTCCTATTGTGGGACTCCTTAGCAGTGCGCATCCACGATCCCGCCCGCCGGGTTCGAACCCAGGGCCTCCAGTCTCGCGCGCAAAAGCTTAACCTCTAGATCACAATAGGACGAAACGGCCGTCCAGTGCTCCAGATTTTCAATGGTAATCTAACATCACTCAGTTCATGATCTCAATCAAAAACTTAATAATCTCCACAACCATATACTGATAATAAACACTTCTATATGAAATCTAAGCCTATATGTGTTATATTAACCGCTCACTGAAGTTAGAAATAGCATGTTCATTATCTTAAGTTTAAACTGTTCACTTCTGAAGAGCTTAATGTTGGGAGAATAACTGTTTATGAGTCCTTGGTTTATAATGATCATGCAGATGTAAAAGCTCAAATTTCTCATTTTTTTTTATCGAAATTATTTACAAAATAGAATTATAAACTTGAAGAATTATTTAACATCTCATTACTAAGTGTATAATTGTCACTTATCAATTAATTAATACACTCGATTCTGTTTACTTATTACGTATAAACATATCACACACTTTTTCGCATGTTAACTTGCGCATATATATCAAGAATTTATATATATATACACGTGTTGCCAACTCGTCATCTATACATGATGCGTTGTCAGAAAGAAAATGAAACAGGTATTATTTTCCTAACAGGAAACATGTGATAATCTAAAATACCACCCAACTTAATCTATTGATGTATGAAGTCATTAATTCTGAATGTTTATGCTGTAATCAGTTAGGTAATCATATTAATTTTCAAGTATTTTATTTCACATCTTAGATTAATTTATTTAAACATTAAGGGCAGTGAACACAATACTATACTATGTATCGAGATGAAACTTTTTCCCGATTTTTTAAAATTTGACCGATGTCAACTCTTAAGAAACCCATGTTCACCACTGCATGCCGATTAACTCAAAATATCCAACATCAATTTCATGTTTAATGTAAAAAACTTAGAGACTGCAACTTGTTTGTTGGATCTTCATCATACTAAGATGATTGACCAAGGCGTAGTATTCATAGAAGTGTATTTTTTAATTATCGGAAATTATTATTCAAGTATATAGTGGTTGACTTTGTAGGGTGGAAAGTATATCTACAGAACTATTAAAAGCAGATCAAATTGAAAATGCCCTCATTTGTAAGGAGACAATCCTAAAACTTATGGACTGAAGATTATTATTTATAATAGCTTTTATAAAGGAAACAAGTTTTATATTTATAGGTTTGTCTGCTACCACTAGACTAGCTGATACTAGAATTACTTCGAGAGACTAAAATCACTTGAAATTCTCTAGCAAATCACGTCTGTGTGATTTGCTCTAACCTTTGGATAGATAAATTATCCTAATATAAGTATTTGTCCCATCAACTATACATTTGCCTCTGTCAATTACTTACGTGTAACCTTGGTCATACTCTATACACAAGTGCATATTAATAGGTACATGTTTGTATACCTGTATCTCTTTCATGGTTATAAAGATTGCGTCACCTATTACTCCCGGAGTTAGCGCATCAGCCTTTCTCCATCTCACCGTAACTCCTGTCTGAGTATACGAGTGTTTGAAGTGAATTCATATTTGGTTTTTTATTACCTCCGTCACCTAAATGGGATTAGCCTAAGTAGAATATACGAGGAATTTATGTTTATAAGTTATCTGATTCCCTCTATTTTATTATAAATCCAAAATGTCTAAATTTAACATTGATCACTTAGCAACAGTAGTCGATATAAATAAAAAAAACAATAATCATCAAAAAATATAATTTGAATCTCCTGAGTAACAACAGTAACTAAATAAAAAAATAATAATAAATGCACAATTTAAAACAATTTAACAACGTTCAAACACTTTATATAATTCTGTTAATGATGTAAGACGAATGAAACAAGATTGTAAAGAGAATGATTTAATGTCATTTTCATTATGATCTAAATCGAAATTAGGATATCTTCGACTAGGTAGTAAAGAAGAACATAAAATAGGCCATAGTATATGCTGAATCATCCATTCACGAGGTGATAATGACGATGACGATACAGTGTTTTCTTTATCTGACTTATCGTCAATGATTGATTCGGAAGATGATATGGGCAATAAAGAACAATCGTCGAATAAACTTGATGATGATACTGCATAGAAATTAGCTGTAATACAGCAAATATTTTCAAAGCAAACAGATTCAACTGACCAACTAACTTGTGTAGCTAATTTTGTTACATAGATTGGAAGCTGGTTCAATTCAGGAATATAACTAAAATGCGAGATTTAAAAGAGATAATAGACAGTATTACTATAGTTGTTCTTCATTAATCAAAAAACATTCCTGAAGTTTATGTATTAAGTGACGCTGGTTAACAAAACAGTGGGAGAAAAAATCGCCATGTTCATTTTAGTAAAGAAACATCTAAAAAATTATTGTAGTAGTATGGGAAATTGTCTAGGGCAAAGTTTTAAAACAAAATATAATATTTCCTTATTTGTTTAATTAGAAATATTCGATTTTCGTTTAAATCTGTAATTCCTTCATATTCTAAACAGTAATTATTCTAATGATCATTAACATTGAAACTATTGGTACAATTAATCACACTTATAAAATATGAAACTGATAACTCATAGTCAGTCAGCTAGGCGGAGATTGATTATGAATACAGTGGTCTTAAGTGCTGTTAGAGGCATTAGGACGGTTCTCGTTTCTCGGTTGCCCACACCGTGCAAGGGTTCTTCTAGAAGTACCTGAAAAGGAAATTCGTCTCGAGTTGGTCTTAGTGACTAGAGAGCGTGACCACAGTGTCCAAGGGACAACTGCTTGAGGCGAGTCACACACGACCTTTTTGTGGGTAATTTTCGTGTTAGCTCCTAGTTGTTGAGACCTTACCACCGGAGGCGAAAATCCGTGGGATAAGACGCGGTGTGCATTTTTAGGGTTGACCTTTTCTAACCTCACTCTTTCTCGTGGGAAGGCAGCATCGTTGTTATGCCGGTTGTTTGAAAGAAACACCTTACTACCGTCACACCTCTGTACAGTCAGCAGAACGACTTTGCCCTCGAGCCTTGGATCTGCTAATTTTACTTTTACCGACCTGCTCGGCATGGTAGGACCTTGAGGAACGATTGTTCTAGGCAGTATAGCTCGATTGGTTCATCACGATAGGCAAGACCGACCACCACGTCAAGGTAGCGGCAACGGTCGGGATAACTCATAGTTGAAAGAACATCTAGTTTCTAATCGCATACAGCCACGATCTTGTAAAATTGATAGTCTAACAATATACATCCAACTGCTAACTGGAACGTGAACTTCGTTCGAACTACAAAACTGTACAGTGAAGTATCGTAAAAATGTTAGGGTTCTTAATGTCATATATTTTCTAATACTAATAATAGTTAATCGATATTAAACGTAAAAATAACTTGAGTTATTAGTATACATACAATCCAAAACACTTATTATTAAAAGAAAATAGAAAGCTGGAAGAAACGCTAGGTTATGGACATATTTGTATAAATTTATCTTTTAGAAGGAAAAAAGGAACTAATTCAGCGACATATTAACGAAAGTGATCATATCTCAGTAACTGAACTGCAACTTTAAACGACAACGCACTAATTACTGTGCTATGGTCAGTCAGATAATGTATCATTAGACAACTTGCATGAAAAGCATGGCTTAAAACCCTGTACATAAATCTACACTTGGTTACCGAGTAAAAAATATCACCAGAATATAAATGCAGTGTGTAATAATACAGTTAATATCTCTCATTTTTATAAGTAATTTAATTCTTTACAAATATATGTATATTTGTGTGCATGTTTCTGTCAAGATGAAGTAATCCTAAAGGCAGGAAAGGAATAGAAAACAATATTATAATATCTGTCAGTTTGAACTACCGCCGCTCGTTGCCATAGCGACAGGAGATTGAGGCAAGCCTATGTCAAACATTGAGTTATATATATATATAAGCATTTTTATATTGATGTCGGTTATCGTAACTAAAACATTCTGAGTTTTAATTGAAATCATCAAATTATTTTGATTAGAAAATAATTGTAACAATAATCTGTTGAATAATTTTATACAACACAAAGAAACTTGCATAGGATTTAAGTACGTGTACTCTAGCGATTTTATACTTTAGGCAGTGAAACGTGCTTCTTCATGTAGTAAAGATTGGAGATATTGGTAGTTTAGCATTTAGTTGACAATATGACTATATGGCTTCTGTTACATATCATTGTAGTTTCAATAAAAACTGAGTTAACATATATTATTGAACTATTAGTGAAAATGATGCAGTTAACAGTAATGATGAAATGAAAAATGGAATGGTTTGTCTTTAACAGTCTTATCTACCTTATGTGAATGGCTAAAACATCTAGCGTTTTTAGTAATTCAGTACACTTAAGGGTAAGAAAGAACTTTCTACCGTCAGATTCTATATACGGAAAGTGGTATGATCTAATCGAAATCTAAGTAAAAGATTAAGGTGAAGATTTTCATAATAATAATAATGACATTTCGTAGCACTAGAGCTTCACATATTGTTAAACATTCCTTGAATAGTTATTTGTCAGTCTAGAGAGAAAACCACTGCTCACTGTAATCGGTCGTTTACTATTAAAATCAAGTGAATAGTTAGCGTAAAAAAATCATACACCCATTCGGGTAGTCTACAAGATACACAGTAACATACAACAATATATTTCCATTAGTTTTCCTTTTAGTACAAGATTTATATAAATATATATTGAAATTTATTATAGGATTGTTATCAACTCATCACCAGGTACAGATTCCCGTACTTGACTTCAGACTAAAGTTTAAGTGAGAGGGATGTTTGAACCGAAGTGGGTGGAGTAGGACTCAAGTTTATAACTTAGTGGTTGCAGATTGAACGTTTTAAGCACTGACCAACTACTCCACTACATGATGTTTTGATCAATGGCATGAAAATATGATCCTATTTAAAAAAGTAGTTTCTCATTTCAACATTACATCAGGTTGACAGTTTGTAAACCTCAATAGTAGTTCTAAAATGAAACAACTGACTTTTACGTTTATCGACATTTGCTGTCCCACTTAATTCTAGTTAGTGAATAAAATTTTAAATACAAAAAACCATCAACTTCAATAAGTCACTGAAATAAATCACATTTCTGCATGAAAAATAACGAAGTAAATTCGCAGAAGTCATCTCCATTAATTAAAAAGGTCAATATAGAAATTCCAGTTTTGCATCAGATTACAAATTGACTGAGGTTGATAATATTGGCCATTAAGAACGAGTAGTTGTATTAAACCAAAAACCTAAGGTACTTGTTAAAAAAATAAGACTATTTTTAACTGTAATCCGAAAACGTGTTGATAAGCAATGTAGGTAGATCTCGAAATAGGAGAAAAGTATCTAGCATCTTTGGGTCTCTATAGGCCGGTAGAATTGTTTTTGGAAATTATTAGGAGAACTTGAAAACAAAATATTTATCAAGTCAACGGAAAAACTTACTTAGCTATAATTAAAGGAATTCCAGTAAGCACTTGATTTCCATTTGAATCGGTAGTTATTTTAATTGAGAAATAATCCCAGAGCATAGATGCATGCTGAACAAGAGTAGCGGTAGCTTTTTTAATAAATTCATCCGAACTGATATTAGATAAATATCGTGAAGATTTCCGAAGATATTCATGTCCTATTGATAAAAGATCTGCCAATGGAGCTGGTTCACGAAGAATTATCTAGACATTATTAAAAGATGGTGTGAAGGAATAGTAGTTATTCAGAAATACTTAGTTGAGAAAAAATAGTTACAAACAAGAACCTTTATGAACTGTATCGAATATCAAAATAAGTAGTTCAACGAAGTCATACTTCGTCCATTAGCAAGCAGTATAGTTTATGTACGGAAACTTACTACTTATGTATATATATTCAATGAATATTAGTTACCTTTCAAATAACTTTGATTCTTAAGTGAGTTACAATTTACAGATTGTTGGCGAACACTATTCTCTAGGATATATTCAATCCGGTAAGCAAAACGCAGCAATTTATTAAGAGAATGAACAATATGTGCACAGAAACGACCAGAAGATTTACAAGCTCAAAAGTTATGAACAGTGACTTTTAAGTAATTTGTTTCTATTTACTTGAAATAATTTTCTTTAATTACAAAAACAATTGTTATTGTTATTAACTGAATATCGGTCAAATAATCGTTTTTAAACCCTTACTATGACAATATCAACAGGACGCTAAGTCAACAACTTTCTGTGTTAATATCTAACGTCAACCAATCCACGATATTGCGCGACCGTCTTTCATTGTCTTCAGTGAGTAACCGCCTCAACTTCACTGGTCAGAGCTCACTAAAACTTCGAGAATTACCTCTCAAAGCTAGTCACTAGTGAGTATATGGTAATTATCAGTATAGAATTGTGAAGCTTGTTGGGTTTTGATTAAGATCATGAGTCGATCAATGTTAGGCCAACATATCCGGTGTGAGGCAGTTATCCATCGAAGACAATGGAAGCTGGTCACGCAATATCGTGAAATAGTTGAAGTTGGATAATAACACCACTGGATGCTGGCTCAGTGGTCTAAAGTTCAGGCGTTCGTGAACGAAACATGAGTTCTTGGGTCCAAATCCTAGAGGTTGTACGCTTGAGTATAGCGAAATAAAATACACAATTGATCTCCTGTCGTATTGATATAATTAAATTTGACAACCAAGATCGTTACTGCTTATCATGATGGTCTGTTTCCTGGAAGACCAGAAAAATAACCCAAATATAAGCAATAATAACCTTTTATTCCGTGATTCCAACTGATAGACAGACAACTCCTAAGCCTACAGACTGAACAAAATATATAGAGTTAGTGTATTTCAATGTTAACAGAGATTATAATACTTTCATAAATCATTTTGTCCATTGATAGTCGATTTTCATCATAGGACTAAAGATTTTAGGGAAAAAAAGGCATGAACAAATTTATATCTTATTTATCTACCTATTTCCAATTCTTTTCATCTCAGTGCTAAACAGCTATCTACAGATCAGAACAGATCCGGTAAACTTAATTTACAGTATCAATTATCAAAAATAGGAAACACAATAGATTGATAAATAGAGAATAAACTGTTATATTCCTAATTAACGAACTAACAATAAATACACTTGGATTCAAATTAGAAATTTTAACTACATTTGTTCTGTTTATCAAATATAAATAAATTTTAAGAAAAAAATTTCCCGCATTTTTAAAAGTCATCTATGTATATGTGTATGGAATAAGATATAAACAATTCGAAGTTTGTTAATTAACAGTAAACATATAAAACCAGTATACATGAAATAATTATTGATCAAAAATCATTAGTTGAATTTCATTAACTTTAGCTAGTTCTATATCCAAGTGAATGGTAATTTGGTACATTTAGTTCTGAAATCACAAACAGGAAAAAGTCAAATTTCCAATTATTATTAGTAGTATATACTTTATTGATAAAACAAAATGCTAGCGATATAACTAAGCCATGATTAGTTTGAACTACATTGGGACAGTGATTAACATTATATCGCTAAAACTACTATGTTCCCATTTAACGTGATACTTACTACAAACTAAAACGAAAATACAGGATTATTTCTAATTTCCTAGTGAATTTCACTGATATAAAAAATAATTTGCAATCCACAAGAAAAAAAACGGTATGATGATAAACTTCATTAAAGAATAACCAATGAAACGGAAATGTCGATGAACAGAATGTAATACATATTGTATCAAAGTGGATTACATAATATGAAAATAGCACAGAAAGAAATTAAGAGAGAGAGAGAGAGAAAATGTATTAAAATGATTGAGATGAAATATATAAAACACAACAAACATAATTTAGCTTTATACAATCGATTTCGGTTAAGACAGTTGAGTAATATAACCGATTCTTATACAAACAGTATGGTTTAAAACCGAATAAATCCACTTGGTCAATGAATTAGATATTCATTAACTAGTTCATATCAACCTAGTTGATTGGAACTTGATTTTATTATCATTATTAATGGTTTAATTCAGTATTATATGTTTAGTACAATAGGGAATTTTCAGCACATAATATTTCAACAAGTTTTTCTTACTTCTTGTACATCACAAAGGAAGAAAACTATTGATAACTACAAGCATATATTATACATGGAATAAGTTATCTAGAATTAAGTGAAATGGTTTCAAAAAGATTAACATTTATGCAACTGTTAATTAACAGCGTGTTCAGGAATACAAATCTTCACCTATAATGTTATGTAATGTAATCTTAGTGGGTATCAATACCAAGGTTGGACTTGATAGTTTCAAATAAATAGAGCATTGGGTAGAAAGTTAATAATCAATAAGTATTTTTTGTTATAGCCCAATGAGTAGAAAAATTGTATTTCTGGCGTTTCTTCAATGTTCCCTCCGTACTATTTAAACTTGTGTCAATTTTATTCGGTTATTTATTTACTCCGAAAAAAAGGTTTACATTAAGCCATGGAACATCAAAAATACAGATTTTCTACTCGTTGGTATATAACTATATATATATATATATATATATATATATATATTAATAATTTATATTCTTATTTATGATGAATTATCCTACAAACCAATGCGAAAAAACAAACTTATCACTGGATTATAGAGAAAGATTAAGACAATACATAACCAATCCATTACTCTAATATATAAAGTGTTAACAATAAAAGTTATATGTATATCACTCACTTCACCATGATTGCCGAAATTTGTTAATAATAACTGATAAAATAATGCTTGACTTAAAGGTTTTAAACGTATAAGTAATAATTCTGTATGATGTTGTGCTAAACATCTTGTTTCATCAATAAAACCAATAAATTTACATGAACGTAATGTAGTTTTAATAGACTGGTCTAAATCACATTCTAAATTACGTTTTAATGCGAGAATACTCATTAAGTAAACTGTTCGATGACGAGGTTTTGATGATACTGATTCTATCATATCATTATTTGAGTAAGTTAAAAGTGTATTCGATTTGCTAAGTAAACCATTAGTAGTAGTATAGGTAGTAGTAGTAGTAGTAGTATTTTGAGATGATAAACTTGCATCTGTTTTTATTATCGGTCTAGATGTTAAACTAACAGTAGTATCAGTATTATCAATAGTTGCATTATTATTAGTGTATGACTTTAAAGGATTTTGAGCTGTAGTGGTTACTTCATTTTCGTCGGAATTCTTTTCTTTCTGGTCATGAAATAAATGGGGTTGTTCAGTAGTTGCTCTAAGAAGAAATAAAATTAAACAAAAACACGGTAAAGATTAAATATCCTTTTGTTCTTTGTTCGAATAGATTGCATGTTTATAAACGAATTTATAGTAAATGTAACAATGGTATGAATACAAAATTCATTAGGTACTTTTAACATATCTTTGACGAGAAAAGTAGGTGGAGCAGGAGATCAAACCTGAAACTTATTGGCAGAAAGTCGAATGACTCAATTACTATGCATCCAATTCCTCTTATTAGAGAATGTCCCATCGCTTTTGACAGATAAGGCAACGTGAAAGTCACGAGAATGTAATGGAAGCATACAACAGGCTACGTATATATATCCCTAAATGAATAATCATCATGTGCCAACCAGTAATTTACTTCGTGACACAATCTTAAATCTATGGTCAGTGGTTAGAAATAGAGTGCATTAATTTTGAATTCAACAACCTAACAGTAACTCATTAGCTGTAGAGACTTAGATTTAATTTTTTCGGGATGAGTTTTAGGTGTACAATGAAGAGTTTCTAACTAGAATGAAACAGTTGGTTTTCAATAGCTCTCCTTAGTTGATACCAGACTGTGATGAGAACTTACGTCAAATATTATTTTACTTTCATTTTAAGAATGAATAATTTCACTCATATACAATCATCATGATAAAAAAGACCACTAACTTGTTCCAATCAAATTCATCATAATTCAATGAACCATTTTCCTGAAGAAGATTGGATTTCAAAATTTCATCAGCTTCATCAGAATCAACTTCAATATCCGGACTCATTTCACCGATAGATTTTTTCAACGAATTATTATGTAAACTTTTAAGCTTACTACAAACCATATTATTATCATTATTATTCATGTAATTTGATTGAGGTGATAGAAAACGTTCAAGTTGTTGTTCACGCAGATCAATTCGTACTTTTTCATTCGGTCTATAGACAACTTGTGATGAATGAAGATCTTTTGAATTGTTGTCTATTGATTGATCATTATGAATATTTAAATCTTTAGGATTTTTAAAAGTAATCGGTGTTGGCAAACAATTTCGAATGAATGTTTGAATTTGTGCAGATGATAATAATGCTTGTTCAATAGCATCCTGTAGTCCATTAACTATTTCATCCTGTAAAAAAAAATTTAAAAAAGGCATAAAATGAGAATGGTGAAATAAGTTATATTTCAACAAAAAAGATTGGATAATAATTATAAAGTTATGATAGTCAACAATGTGGAAATGTTAATTATCGCTTTATAATACTATTGGTACAATAAACATAGAAATTAAAGAAAATTGAAAATATGTTTGTTTTACACAAAACAGAACCTCTTTCAAAGTAACTTTCTACAATATCATAACTAAGATTTCCTGAATGTCATTGGTTTATTCAATAATGTAGTAGAAAAATTATTAGTCATTAAATGGATAAGTTCCATTTCAAAAGCTAATAATCACACCATTAATTAGTTCGTATTGAGTTTTGGTTAATCAACCGAGTGGGTGTGATTTGTTAAAAAAAGTCCAGTGGTAAACATGATTCATGTGGTTAAATTATGCATTAGCATAGATCAATGTTGAAGCAACATGTAATATTTCAAGGAAGAAGGATCAATCTCAAGATTTTTGGTACTGTTATTCAAGGTGTTTAGTAGATCGTGTGTTGTTAATATCTTGAACAAAAATAACAATGTCACCTATGTATTATAAGTAAGACACCAATCTCTACAAATGCACACGACAGAAATATTATCTCAAAGTGAATTTCTTTGACACATTCAAGCAAACATGAATAAAGTGGACAGCCTCGATGGATGCCATTTGCGGCAAACCACTACCATAACAGTAATCCATAAGCTCTGATCCGATGAAGTGTCTGAGTAGAGAACAGTACCATATTTATATACTTCTCTTGTATATCTTTTTATATAAAAGTGCCACTATCAGATTAATGGATTCATCTAGAGTTTGACCATGTTCTAAAAACCACGGAATGATAAACACCTGACCAATAAATTCATGGCCAATTCCAAAATGTTTCAAATTTTCTCAGGCATGTTATTTCCAAGCTTCCGCTAACCGTCGAATTATAATAGAAACCAAGAGCTTAAGAACAATGTTGATTAAATGGATCACTTCATGGTTATCACAGAAAAATTTCTATTGTAGTAAACTGATCAGTAATTGACATAAAACGTTTTACTTCAAATTTGTTATAACCTTTCTAACGTGGTCAAAAGCTAGTGTATTGAAACAAAAGAATCTCACGGTTTATTCAGCTTCAATTAACTATATAAGTACGTAAATAAACATACAATAAAATATGATAACTAACCTCATGAAGAAAATTTACTTCAGCTTTTGTTGGATGTACATTTACATCTAAAGTATGTGCAGGCAATTGTATATTCAAATATACGTATAATGAATTAAATGTTGAAGATTTATACATAATATTTGAATTAGTCGATACTTTAAATGACTTCTTAGTTGTTATTATTGCTTGATGTTGATCAATTGGATTAGACGATAAACCACGTGAAATCACAGAAGAATAAGCACATTCAACAATACGTTTTATTGGTGTACAACTAACTAAACGATTGTTAATGAATAGATTAAGTTTTAAAGATGGACTACAACCTGTACAAAGTATGACAGCCGAGCAAAAAAGATATAAAAAAGAAACAAGTAAACAATTCAATCTATTGTTAGTAAACATTTGAATCTATATAAATTTAGTTATTAACTTTATTTTCATAATTGAATTCACGAGTCGATCTAAGCTAAACCACTACTGAAAACCTGGAAGCGCTGAACGGCCGTTTTGTCCTAGTATGGGACTCCTTAGTAGTGTAAAATACCACAATCTCCACAAATCCTCACACTAATATCAATTTTATATTTACGATATTCTGGAGTCCTGGAAAACGATGGAATTAAAGACGATTTTTTTTACCTTGTTTGAAACTATTCTATTGAGTAAAACAAAGTCACAGCGTTGATATTCACAAAGATATACGATATTTCATATTACATAAACTGTACCAGTTCTCAAATTCACATACTCGATACAAGATCATGTCATTACAAACTGAGTCCGAACAATTGATTAATCAAGTATATATCAGTGAATGATATGCATTTTACTGACACGAAAGTAAACTAGAATGGAAGTTAGTAAAATTTACGAAATTGTCCAATTTATTTGTACATCAGTGTCAACATACTGATCTATCGACACTCAAATATTACAATTAGTCGACAAAATAATCATCGCTTTGCTTAATGACAATTCAACCTTCTATAAACTATCATATTGGAAGACATATGAGTCATAAGTTTGCGTACCTGAGACATGCCATTCTAACTTTATAGTAGCCTAAACATAGAAATTAACGAAGCAACAGTGAGATAATCATGTATACGTTCAGAAGGGGGTAGATATCGCGAGTTATAAAACCTCAAACAAACAGTTGAAGGAACATATTAAACTTTCAAGAGCTCACAAAAAATACCAATTTAATGATAGGGTACGAACATGATGAAATTAGTCATAATTACACAGAAGAGATTAAACTTTTTTTTAAAATCCTCAAAATAGCACAAGGTAGGACAAAAACTACGCGAAATAAAACAGATTTTTCTATATAGGTACGGGCATAAATTAAGTAGAGCACTAAAAAACGTGGTTAAGAAGAGATATGTTTATCTGGAAAGTTAGTAACTATTGGTCAGTTGGAAAAATATCTGTCACCTGAATTTCCCCGAAAGAAAAGTAACATCCTGTTAAAATATTCTGAAAATGCATCAAAACGGTCGACAATAAGGGTGTTTCAATACTTTCAGGGATGTAATTTCCAGGAATTTAATGAACACTGATATTCTAATCGGTATCATTAGTGTTAGACAAATAAAAAATACATATTGTTGATGACAATTATAGCATTAATATCAAACCGTATAAAGATGATGATGAATACTCCTAAAAAATGAAATATACTCTGAAACTGAAGGAGAAAATTATGTAAAACTATAATTATTCTTAATATTAGAAGTTGAATCATTTTGAATAATTGGCATTAAATTTCAAGGGATTAAAACAAAAAAATGTCAAATCTATGATCTCATAGTGTTGTGACTGACCATGAAATCAATTAATGTATCATTCTGTTATATATGTAACAAAATTCCAGATGACGTTGACGATTACAGAACAAATAAAGCGACAAAGAAAATAGGAATTTTCTCTACAAGTACCAAATATGATGAATGTTTTACAGATAACATGAGAAACTCCATTAACTCATTGATTTCATTTAGTGCCTACTTTTATGGTGTGTTCAGAAAGTAGGTTTGTGCTTCCGTGTACTTTTTGCGTAAAACACTTTTTTTCCCAAGAAAAAACACTACAGGCAATTATATAGGTTTGTTAAACTATGCGTAATGTGATAATAGGTTAACACTGGTAGAATCTTTAAGATGCACTAGAAACTTACTATATAGTTTTCCATTGATAAAAAAGGAAATATTTAACATTAAACAAGTCTGTAGAATAAAATAAAAATTTTCTGTTTCCGTTTCATAAGCCAGAGTAATAAGCACAAGTTGGTAAAAAGATGAACATACATCTCCGAAAGTATAGTTATCTTCCAAAATATCTAATGACCAATAACTTGTGGAGATTATTCACAAAACAAGTGGATTACGACTAGCGTTTATTACAGTTAGTTTGTTAGTCATATATAACATAGAACTTGGTTCATGATGTGTAAAGAAAAGTAAAGAAGCCATGGCAAACAACAGAAGCTACGTTTGGTGACGTTATTTCACTTAATTCAAAGTTTGTAAAAAAAAAAACTACATTTAGTTTTGTCCCTAGTTTATTCTATAAACCATAAACTTTCGTTTGATGTATGATTCACGGCCATAACCTTTTCTGTTCCAAAGCTATTGCAATTTAAACATAACCCATGTTAATTCACTTGATATTATTTTACTTGAATCTTCCCATTGATGTTTTAGGACTGAAATTGATCAGTCTCTTATTGGCATATGTGCATACTGTGCGTATGCCTCGATATTGCCTTAATTTACAAGCATTATAAGCAAAGACAGATAGTGGCTAGCAGTGGAATCCAGGACGCGCGTTTCGTCCTGTTTGGGACTCATCAGCTGGATATACCTGCAACTAAGAGACTGGTCAAGTTCAGTCCTAAAACATCAATGGGAAGGTTCAAGTAAAACAATATCCAGTGAATTAAACTTCACCCCATTGCACAAGCAAGTGGCTATCAGGACTCAGTAGCTAAGTGGATAACGCGATGGCGTTTGAAGCGAAAGGTACTGAGTTCGAGTCCCAGAGTGAACACCAACTCTGAGATGCAGGTACATCCAGCTGACGAGTCCCAAACAGGACGAGACGTGCGTCCTGGATTCCACCGCTAGCCACTATCCATCTTTGATCATAACCCATGTTACTCTATTTTTATACCCTAATGTCCAGTTTGGACAAAATTGTATTTTTCTAATTGTTTGTGTGTTGTGGTCATCTATTTATGCATGTATCATTTTACACTAATGTGAATTGGGAATCAGGAATAAATCGAGTAGTGTTCCAGTTGACTCATCTGCTCTCTCTCTAGCTTGTCAACCAATTTTTTTCGTTTCTCCACCCAAGGCTGTTAGTTCCGATTCGGACTCACGCATTTCTAGTCTCAGGGTTAAAGCAATCAGACTACCCTGTCAAGGCCATAATCTAGATCGAGACAAGTTCTCTTGTATATTATTGGGTAGACAGATCAAGAACAGGATAAAATTATCATGGAAAATCTCAGAGTAGTAGAAGTAGCAAAAGTATCGATAGTGGTACAAAAGATTAGGTATTGAAAAAGACACAAAAGGTATAAGATTTTGGGAATAGAAAGAAGGAGTGAATGCACCTACATCATTTCGAACGATTATCAGCCGTGTCATCTAAACTTGCTAACCAGTGATTATGATAGTCGTGCAAATCCTCACCAGATAATATGGATCTGCTGATATGGCTCAGTCAATGAATTCATGGATTGGTGCCATGTTTTGGTTTAAAAGACCCTAGCTCTCTATTAGCCTGCTCCTACACCAATCAACATCTCCCTTCAAGGTTGGACATACGTAATACAAGTCCAAACCACCTCAGTTGGTGATTTATTACCTCATCAATCGATTTACCATCTTGACCAAGTACCGGATTACTAACCCAGGCAAAGTCCCAAAATACACGAGTAGTCCTTCGAAGACACTGTAGTGTCAGTTATTATGCCAAGCCCATATACCTTATTCTAACTTCCGGACATCCCATTTTATTCATTCTACTCGAGCCATACACTTTGACCTTGTTATTTATTCGCTTATCAATCTAGACTGTTTTTATATGAGCGTATATGTGTGTGCCCTTCTTATCCTATTAATCACATGTCTGTAGCTTTATTTTGTCTGACTATAAATATTGAGTAATGCCTGGCTTGAAATGGAGTTGGCTTCCCAGCCATCTTCCATACGTGTCAAAATTGCTTTGCTATGCTTCATTCGCTTTATGTACAAAGTATATGTATTCTCAAGTCAAATCGCGTTATCCAAAAACGGAATTAAATAAGTCGAATAACGAGAATTGACTTGAGAATACATATACTTTGTACATAAAGCGAATGAAGCATAGCAAAGCAATTTTGACACGTATGGAAGATGGCTGGGAAGCCAACTCCATTTCAAGCCAGGCATTACTCAATATTTATAGTCAGACAAAATAAAGCTACAGACATGTGATTAATAGGATAAGAAGGGCACACACATATACGCTCATATAAAAACAGTCTAGATTGATAAGCGAATAAATAACAAGGTCAAAGTGTATGGCTCGAGTAGAATGAATAAAATGGGATGTCCGGAAGCTAGAATAAGGTATATGGGCTTGGCATAATAACTGACACTACAACACCTATGATCAAGCACTACGAATATCCACCATTCTTCATGGACATATTCCATATCCGCAAGGTAAAAAGTATGTTGTTAAGCTGTATACTGGTTCATTGATTGGTACGCAGATATCTCGCCTACACCACAAGTGACATCAGTTGGCAAACACTAACCAAGCTTTCTGAATCCATGCAGAGACTTCTTCAAACAGCAATGCACCAGGGCTGATCAGACATCGAAAATAAGTGAAGTGATCTACAAGCCCAACTACATCATTCGCCATCACTAGTTTAGAAATTGATGCAAACTAATCCTAAAGCAAAAGTGTGCATTTAAAACGGAAAGAATCGTATTACAAATATGGTTGCATCATCGCTCAATGCGATAAGATGGCTCTTGATATGTGGTAAAGTGAAATATGACTGGTCACTAAGCGTGAACAAACAGGCACTTAGCCTGCTGACTATTTAATATGTGACTTCATTTTCTTATTGATTTCTACTTCGGACTCACTGAAATTGACTACTTGTAACTGTATTGAATAAAGTATTGTCTAGCATTCACCTTGGTTCTCGATTACTAGTCGTGAACCCTGGATCTGATATAATGTGATCTGATTTCGGTATTGTGTGCCATCTAAGTATTCAACCTAACGTATTATCGTGCTGCACCTCAGAAACAGAAAAATATTTTAAGCCATCCGTTATATCAATTCCGCATTTTGTCAGCGATCTCACCAAACAGAATTATAAAATTTGCGTATTTTAAGCCAACAAGTGAGTTTTCTATTAGAAAGTTAGATGACGAAAGTATTATTTTTTAAAAAATATCTATAATGAAGTTGAATAAAACTAAGGAAGGTGAGCAAACTTGATGAATAACACTTGAGATTGGTAATTCCAATGATAGTTTTTTTTCGTTTAAATTTCATGTGTTGTATATTCTCAGTATGAAACTGATCATTTAAACATGAATCAGTAAGTTTGTGCAATGAATATGATTTACAAATCGATTTACGGAAAAAAAACCTTGCTTATCGACAAATCTCGTGTTTCTGCTAACAGCTATTTTGTCTAGAGAACACTAAGTAACCCTGTTGGTGAAATATAGAAAAGACCATGTGATTCAAATTACCCGATAGCCAACTTTATCGTTTTTACAGTCTCCAAAGATCGAAATGTTTTAGTCATACAGACAAATCTCCCAACAACAAATGATTGATGAGAAATTATATACAACTTGGGAATTAAGAATTCGATTAGTTTCTGACATCTTGAGCGATATTTAAGATTGCATATGGGATATTCCAATAATTTATCATATTCCAATGTAAATGTCTTTTATCGCGTCACTTGGTATGATCACTTATTTGCTTTATAGTAAATTGAATATTCCAAGTTACCAGTAACTTTATGGTGAAAATCAGAAGACACAATTAAGCGTACGTAATAATGATAGAATAAAATATGAAGTTTGGTTAATTCTTATTGTTTGTTACCGGTATAGGCAGGCTGTAGACGTCATATTAATAAAATTCTCATGATCAGATTTCCAGTGATGAGATAATAAAAAAATTTTTACAAAAAAAAGTTATATCTAAAACAACTTTGCTTAATTACTTCATTATTTTTTATAAAGCCTATAATAGACAGTTTGTTACAATTTAATTTACAAAATTAGCATAACACCATACAAAAACAGTAATTTGCCTGAAGAGACTTGATTTGGTGCAGTAAGTAAACCTTCATAGCGTAGACCGTAACGTTCTATAGCTAGACGTGTTGATTCTGAAGATGAACACTGTGAACTAGTGAAAGAAATTAAATTCTGTTCTATGGACGAACCAATTACAGCACGTATTGCATCCATTCTTGACCAACCAGCAGATGTACGTAAATCTAGAAAGAATATATTTTGTTGAAAAACACCAAAGAATTAAGTCTTTGTTACATTTTGTTATTCAATAATAAGTGAATAGGTCAATTACTATTAGGTGAATTGGGGTTTTAAATAGAAAAAAATGTGTCGATTATACCATTAACAATCAATCATCTATTTACCAGATACAATAAACACTGATAAAGTTGTTTACTCATTACGTACAGGTTTATGCACTCGTGTTTAACCCAGATTGTTCGCGTGATACCTAGTGATACTACTTAGTAAAATAAATCGAAGTAGTGCAACGTTCAAACCACCGAAGTAAAAATTGAAAGTTGAGTAGTTTAACCAATAAAAACTCTAGCCTCCAATCATTTCTCTAAGATATTCTTAACAAAAACTTGAAACCAAATATATTAAACCTTTCCAATTACAACTTCGAAGCAGATAGTTAGCAAACAGAGGTTTGAAAAAACACCTTGTGATTGTTAGATTGCTTAACACTTTTTCTTGTTTACTTTGTCTCACAAACTTTGGTAAATACATTTACATTTTTAAAAATCTATTGTACTATCTACATTAATGACCATCTCTTTGAACCGGACAAGAAAAATAAGCTTAAATCTACAAAACAGAAATAGTTCACTCCTTATTTAAATCGTTTAAATCTAATACATGTTAGTATTTATTGCAGTAGACGGTTTAATTCAATTTAATCAAACAAATAAAATGTAAAAAACGAAAAGCAAACATTAAAACCTTTATGATATTGTAGTGTATGCTACTTGTGTTGACAAATATAAGTAGTATACGACATCATTCAGAAGTGGAATGCCTGCCTGCAGAAGATTCAATTGAAAAGAACAGAAAGTAATTGTGATAACAACTGAGTTGAAAGAACCATGAATCACAAAAAGGACAACTTAAGGAAGATGTGCAAATAATGTATTTACTGTAGCTATCATATTTTATGAAAGCACTCGGTAATTTTGGATTAAACAACAAATTGGTTATCCTTACAAAACTTCGTTCATTATCATATGACGGATGAAATTCGCCAAAGTTTATTCTGAGACTGGAAATTAGTTAATTTTAGAAGGAAAGAAAGAAAGAAAAATAGTAAGAGCTCTACCTCTACACTGATCGTAAAATGATAAAAGAAAAATTATAAATTGGTCTTTTCAAATATTTGAAGTAATAACATGTTAACTATTGAGAAATTTACATGGCATTCACTAAAATTATAACTAAATATAATAATTCAGAATGAATAGATAAGAAAAGGATCAGTTATTGTTCACGAATTCGAAAGCAGTCAATTATTAATTAATTTTTTATGCGATATTTATTATCGTTTATTATTATTATTATTATTATTATTATTAGTAGTAGTAGTAGTAGTAGTAGTAGTAGTAGTAGCTGTAGTAGTAGTATTAGTAGTAGCATCATTTATTAAGACAATTGAAATCGAAAACCAACACACAGAAATAATATTTCCCTAAGGACCAATGAATAAATAAACTCTTGATGAATAATGAAGTATCTATAAAATGTAAACCGATAAAGACTAAGGAAAATAAGGTAATAAATTATTATCAATTGTAATTTTGCTTGTACTTAATCAATAAAAATTATCCTAATTATTTTCATAAGGTATTTCAACAACAAAGTCCAAGTAAATAACCATAATATATAACATACTGATCATGTACATAATTAGGTACTGAACTTTAAGCATCCATTTTATTATTCGAAGGTTAGAAATGCAATCAGGCTACTCTATCTAATGTATAACGTTATCAGCTAGAAGATAACATAATGTTCCATCACTAAGAGTTTTGATCATAGAAAGCTGAAACAACTAAGATTTTCAATGTGATTGTTTATATGTAATCTGGGAAATACAAGAAGTGAATAAGTCAAGAATTATCTTGAACAGAAAAATTGGTAATAGATTATATGTCCTGCGGTAGGCACAAGACCTATATAACTAGAAAACATATTAAAGCAAATATTAACATTAAACACATAAAATATGATTTTGAGAAACATCAGTTCAATTTTAATAAAAACATATATTAGCATAAAGCCGTGATGAAAAACTAATTGAAAATAATTTTATTCCTTCTATTAGTTCTTCTTTAACAAATGTCTAAATTCACGCGATTAAGGGTCACGAGTTGATCTAACTTAGGCCACCATTGAAAACCTGGAAACACTGGATGGCCGTTTCGTCCTAGTATGAAACTCTCCAGCAGTGGGCATCCACGGTCCCACACGAGGGAATCGAATTCTAGATCTTCAGTCTATGGCACCAGCGTTTAATATTTAGACTGGGCCAGCATCTAAAATATCAATTTTCAATCCACTAAAAATATGTAATTGAGCATTTATTTGAATATCATTTCAAAGTAATGCCATATGACAAGTTTTTTTTCGTAGAGTTAATAAATAAATAAAAAATACTACCGGAAACGCCAAGGGAAATTGTACTGCAATGGTTACAAAAGTTTAAAGACTCATGATAATTTGACGTCTAAATTGTGCTTACGGACATTAAACCACAGATCCAAAGATGTTTCTTCATCTGTAAGTGTTAAGAAGAGTCGTGAAGTGGAAATTAGTAAACTCGGGAAAATGAGTGGCGGGGAATCAGTTTGTATATTATCTTTCTATCTAACGGTTCATAGTATCTTTATACATCGATATACGTAGGCTTTTGTCTATCCACTAATTATCATTATTTCTTTTACTACTCGTAAATTACGGTTAATTAACCAGTGAATACATTACTCAGATTCATGTCAAAAATACTGTGGTTAAACACGTACTGTGATGGTAATGTATTTTAAAGATAGAATTACGTGAGTTGCGGATCTAAAATACACGAGGCGTCTAAATGCTCTTCCTGGTTTTCTGACCAATAAATGTGGGAATGAGTGACTTTTGTGTGGGTCAATAAATCGTCGTAAATACTGCATCAGAGTTATTAGATTGAGTGTTCTCATAATTAATTGAATCATAGAAATAAGACTATGAGACGTAAATACAAATAATAGCATTTACAACCAAGTTCATCAATGGATCATCATAATCCCGTGGAATAAATTTCAAATATATTAAGACTAAGTTGGCATTAAGCAAACAATCATGATTAGGAAAAATGGAAAACACTTATGAATTAGGCTAAACTGGTCATTGTTCTCAATGAAGATCGCGTATTCGTAGAAATAGAATAAAGTGGCCTATGTTATTTATTTAATCAGACAGCTATATCCTATTTTTGCTTATTCTTCTTCTTGACAAAAAAGATAAAACATTAGGTCAACTTATGATCCAAAATTTACATATTCCCTCAGTATAAGTTAATCAACCGATAAACATTTTAGACCATAAATAAATCATGTGAATAACTTTATATTTTAACTTAATAACCGAAATATGTATTTTCGCTACAGGAATTCCAGGGTGTATGCCCATATAAATCCTGGTGATCGATAGAACTCGTGATATGCACCGTATAATAAAATTATTTTATCCGAATTACATCAAATAGTTGGAGGAAAAACATCAGTGCGAAATCAGAATTTAAAAATTCTAGATTGAAAACTAAACAAAAAATGTAGGTGAAGAGATATTGAGACTTAATTCACTGAAAATAAAACAGAATTAATCAACATTGGTCGAAACAACATCAAGTGAAGGTAAATTCGATTTGTTATTTGGAATAAAATAAGACAAAGGTTAACAATATGAAAATAGTAACAATAATAATAACAACAGAGATATACGATAAACAAAGCCTGACTGTACAACACATTGCTAGTATTTCGAATAAAAGAAATGATAAAACGTGATATATTTCTTATGGAAATGACAATCTCGATGATTTATTTATTTTACCTTGAAGGAAATTAGTAATGTAATATGTACAAAGATTTAAAAACAACAACATTAAAAACCAAATAGTAATGGAGGAAATAAAGTAAGAATTTATTATTATGATAATAAACTATTTTTTACAAGGAAAAAAGCAGATTAGACAATAATAACGTGTTAAAAACAAGTGAAATTTCATTTCCCTCAAAAGTACATTTTACTGTTCACAAAGAACACCTAAAAGAATTTTAATATAGGAATTATCAGTGATGTTGATTGTGAGTTATGTTTAAAAAAGCGTTGGGGTAATATCACCCTGGTGACTTAATTCAAATAGTTACGATTGGCTAAAAGATTATAGATTAAACTAATCATTCTTCATTTGACAGTGTCATATTATCAGTCCGAAAAGCAGTTGAAGGTGCTTGTATGCAAGTTTCTAGATCCAGTTATATAAGATGACACTTTAGAGTATTAAATCATACAGTCAGGCATATTTATAGATCTCGGTGTTACTTACACGGTGTGGCAATCTCGCAAAAAGAGATGAATAAACACAGAGATCTATCAAATATCTGTACCTTGAAGTGGATAGGTCTTGCAGTAGTAAAGCAGATATGAGAATAACAAAGTGTTATAAACTCTACACTTTAAAACCACATTAAGATTCTTGTGGATCAACAGATATCCCAAACTGTCTCTCGCAAAGCAAACGTCAACTAAATCTGTCACAATAACACTATCATCTTTAGAACTGCCCTCATAAACGTAAAGATTTAACAAAAAACCGATAGTCATCAAAAATGTTGATCATCAACTGATTATGTGAAACTTAAATAGGAGAGTAAGATGATATCACCTGCATGCTTTAGATGGAAAAGGTTTGTTCAGAAAATAACGACACTGCTAATCTGAGTCCTTTCAACTGACAGGCCTGCAACGTCGTTGTATACAATGAGTTAAAAAGATGACTTATACTAAGAAATGAGAAATTTGCTAACCACTGATATATATGCCATACGGTTTTAATACATTCATTTACTTCCCCGACCGGACTGTCACCTTTATCCCTGAGAATAATCGAATGATGATTATTTGGGCATAAGAGATAACGTTTTGGCTTTATATCAACCAGCTGACATATAGATATACAGACTATATACGTAAAATACCTAGAACTGGAAAATGTTCGACTTCTTATCCTATAAGATGAACAAAGTAATAGACCATGTGGTATTTTTGAACCAACATGTCTTTTTATGCACTTATCCTCCTAAAATATTAACACAACTATGAGTAAACCACGAATTGCATAGTTATTAACATTAAACTAACCTTGTTCAATCGAACTTTTCCCAGTAGCGCTTTCAGAATGTAAATGGAATCCACATTGTTGAGCATAATGAATAGCGTACCTAAAGTAAAGAAGATGATTTGAAATAAACCCTAGTAAATAGTTTGTGTAAATAACACATAAAAAACAATACAATCGACTTATTATAGTTGAAAAAACCATTTACTTCTATCACTTATGAATTTCAAACATTTAAAAATTAAGAAACCATATTAAATACAACATGGTTTAAGTCTAACACGATTCCCTATTTTGCTTAACTAGAGTTTATCACAAAGAATTGATTGAAATTAGGGAAAAACATAATGAAAAAGGTTTTATTATCATTTAGGTGTAGCGCATACAGACTTTTAGTTGACTGGATGGAGATAACTTTGGTTGGTGAACCTTCATTATTAACAATACAAATATTTGCTAATATATAGATATTATCAATACAGGGTTGTGGAGCTTGTTGAGTTTCATTGAAATCAAACCATCAGTGTTTAACCACCATTGAGAACCTGCGAGCACTGGACGGTCATTTCGTCCTAATGTGAAACTCTCCAGCAGTGGGTATCCACAATCCTGCACGAGCGAATCGAACCCAAGACATTCCATCTCGTGCGAACGCTTAACCTATAGACCACTAATTCAGCATCCGATGGTGTTAATGTCTAACTTAAATCAATCCACATTGCACGGCCATCATCCATTATCCTCAGCAGATAACTACCTTATACCCTACACGTTTGAACTGTGTCACGACTTTCACAAGAATTCTAAGAATTCCCTCTCGAGCCTAGTCACTGGTGGGCACACAATAATTATCAGCATAGAGTTGTCTAGATTGTTAACTTTCAATGAAATCATGAATCGAAGGTCCTGGGTTCATTGCCCGTGTGTGAGGTCGTGGATTCCCACACTAGGACGAAATGGCCGTCCAGTCGTTCTGGGTTTTTTAAATGGTGGTCTAATATCGATCGGCTCGTGATTGCAATATAGATATTATATTTCCTTTCCGATGATTTTATTTACTTAAGCTGTACAATCATATTTACAGTTAATTTTATTTGTGAAAACTATTAGTCTATAGTAAGACAGACTGGTGTTGAATAGCTAAAAGAAAAACTTGAAGTGGTACCTTCTCATGAATTACCTACGAAAATCAGATATTGAGAGAAAATTATGTAATAATCGGCTAATGAAAACTGTTAAGATGAAGATAATTATTCGCTTGATAAACAATAAGAACAAAATAACTAAGATTTGTAATGATGGTTAATTAATGGTCGTGAAAAATAAATGGAAAATTGTAGGAAAAACGATCGAAGATAGAACGGAAGGTTAAGACCATGGTTGAATGGTAAATTGAACATACTGTTTTCGTACTCAAAGGTTATGGTTGAACTGGTGGACATCAACAGTCTCTTCTACATACAAGTTTCACTTGCATTTATATTGAGCCTACGATTCTGACTATATGTATGATTTTGGAGGCGACTTCTCGTGAAGCGGAATGACTAGAACTGACAAGATGTTCCAAAATTGAGGTTTTTCAATAGATAGCACATATTCCTAGTGTCGTAAAAACATTTATTCTCAAACAAAAGATACAACTGATTCCGCATATTACATTCATTAGAAAACATTTGATTATGGAATTTCAAATGTTAAAAACCCTTGACCATCATGAAAATGTTTATAGTTCACATTTGTATCTTAAAATATTATAATCTGTTTGCAACTACTTACATTTCTAATAAGTAGCATGCTCGCAATGTGGATAAACATAATGCAAAACTTCTACTGTCTAAGCAGGACTACAGATTTAGTTAGCATATTAAAAAACCTTCAGAGCATGAATTGAAATTTAAAAATTAAGCGCCTTGAATTTATCAACCGGTAGCAAATCTCTCTGCATTTATCACTCCAATTTCAAAATAAAAATACAGATTAAACACTTTAGTCGACTTACTGAGCAACGACATCTGTCACCTTCGACAATTCCTCTCTTCCATTTTTCAAAGCAGATTTCCTGATTGGTGCATTATAAAATAAATTCTCTGCGACAATAGTAGTTCCCGGATTACCAGCACAAGGTACAGGTTTCGATTCAGCGACTCCAGCACGATATTTAACTTTGAAAGCACAGTTCTGATTTGCTGTGCGTGTTGTCACAGTAACTAAGGCAACATGGCTGAGACTAGATAGTGCTTCACCACGAAAACCAAATGTAGAAATTTTACTTAAATCTGAAAATTCCTAATACGAAAGTAATAAGAAATTTCAAGAATTCCAATGAAAAATTGAAGTAAAAAAAACTTTATACTAAAATTTAGAATTCCGATAATGAAAGGCCATCTGTCAAAGTGGAATTTCCCCAAATCTCTAGCTTCAAAAGTATACCCTGCTTAAAAAAACTAACCGCTAAGACAGTATTTCTTGAACAAGATTCGATTTTTTTATCAATGAAGATTATGGTTCGTTTAAACATGCTAAAGTATAACATCTACACGTTTATAGGAATTAATAATTAATACAATTACAATTGTTTTCGTTAGATAATATAAATATCACTCCACTGAAAATAAAGTCTGTATTATCCCTAGTTTCTCAAAAACTTAGTAATAATACAGAACAGACAAATCATTTTCATTCATTAGAGTAGCAATTATTTCATTTTCAACTCTTATTACGAATTATATTGTAAGCCTAAATAAAATTGTTATAATAACAGGAATATACATGAGAATGATGAAAAAATAAGATATAAATTGAGGTAAGATAGAACCGTGTACCGAATTGTGAATTGACTGGTTTTATTACACTTATTTTTACTATTTATATTAGTGAAAAGACCACTTTGGCATAGAATAAGGAAGGTATCAATCAAGTACCAATAATATTAATAATGATAATCATAACGATAAAAATAAAAATATTGATGGATATACTGTAAATGAAGCACAATTAAGGAAGATTTCATTGTTCACAAATGTTTATTTTATTGTCTAAAGCAAAAAAGAGAAGAGAAAACTATACTACGATTAACATTAAGTTCTGTTATGAACTATTGGTTTAATGTTTGATAAAAACTATAAAATTTCAAAATCTCTACAAATTCCCGTTGTAACTAATTGTTTAATTATTTATTTACACGTAATCATTTTCTTAGTAAAAATACAAGTATATAGAAATGAGATAATTGAAGGAGAATATAATTAAGAAAATACAAGAAATATAATGATCACCAACTTTTAATTTGCTTGTAGTAAAACGTTCGCATAGAATTGGCAAATCTGACTGATGTATACCACAGCCATTATCTTGAACTTGGATAAGTTTTAAACCTCCATCTTTAACAGTAATCTATTTTAAAGAAGAAAAAAATGTTAGTATGCAGAAAAAGATATCTTAAATGATAATACAGATTAGTTAAATGATTAACTTAACTCAAACACCAGGCACCAGGGTATGAGCATGAACAAGAGGGCTGATGATAATACCCGACTGCTCAAATCAAAGTAGAGTCGGATCTAAAACTAAGACTTAAAATTGGAAATATGCAAGTTTACTATCTAATTTTATTAGTGTATCTCATCATTTCATAAATACTGAGCATTATAAAAGAGAATATGAATATCAAAGGAGGATAACATTGAATATTAACCAGTAAAATTAGTTTTATTCTACATTATAAGTCCGAGATATATAAAAAAGTATGCGAGATTAAAATCACGAGTGAAAATTTCATTAAGCCTAGAAAAACAAGTGTGCCACTTCAATAAGAAAACAGATTACAAGAGGTGAATGAACAATACACATAACTACTTGTTATATAAGTTATGTCATAAATGTAACACCTAGTAATGATCAATTAATAAATGAATGAAAACAGTGTGTCGAAAAAATAATAATATTAATAATAAAGGATTTGCCCTCGAATATGAAATACGATAATACACTGAACACTAAACTAGATAATATTGCACGTAGATACACAATTCCGATCAACAACTGAAAGACAGATAACAGATCAGAACCACTGTTTATTGACACAGTGTGAAATCAGAATAGAATTGAGTTATGATGCAATCAATCTGTTACATACAACAATAGCTTATATACTTAGTGATTTTCTGTCCTCCTTCCGTAGCCATTCTTATTTTACCTTCACTGGCCACATTATCAGAAAGATTCTGAATGCGGTAGCTAGCCACTCAACTATAAAGGTCTTTTATTATGACGGGAGGTGTGTGAAGAATTGCTCATCACGAACTAACGTCATATAAACAACCCCTGAAAACTAAGGAAAACTGAAAATTTGTATTATTCTAGTTTAGTCTCTGCAAAATTTGTACAACTTTCAAGAATAACTTACACAAGAAGGATTGTTAGAGCGTCCAAGAATTTACATGACCCTTGACTCTTAAATAAAAAAACATCAATGTTTTCCATTCTTGTTTTTACACTAAGAGCTAACATCTAGCGATTGACTTATTAGAAGAATTTAACTTAACCAAAATCTATTAACAATTAAGAAATATTAATTATCAACTCATTTGAACCGTTTAAAATACATTTTATTGTATTAACCAAATATATGTTAGTAATATAAACAGAAGTTAATATGTAGCTCAGGACCTCTGCAAAGGAATTGGAAATCTCTGAAAGGACTCACTTATCGAATAGATAAAGTACTTACTACAAATCCAGCTGGTAAACTGAGAATTCAATAGACCAAGAGATGACTTTTTCATGAATAGGTATTTACTTTTTTTAAAAACTACCGGGGACGATAAAACAATGTTAATCATGCTTTACTGAGTAAAAGCCAAAAATGTGTTAATAAAATTGGTAATTATTCAGTTAAATTAATAGTCAGTAATTCAATGATATTTGAATAATTCCAGCTCAATGTACGAATTCCTGATGAGTTTCAAAGCAGTGCAGAACACCTGTTTTAGTATTTCACGATTCTTAACAGTTTTCCATTCTTTTTATGAGGAATGCTTAACAATTTCAAAAAGAAAAGTTTCATAAAGAAAAAACATAACTATGAACTTCATCACATAATAAAGATAACTGATATGAGATAGTATTGATCAGTTAAATAAAAAGATTAAAGTGAAACAAACCACGCATAAGTACTTTTATCATTGTACTACCAGCATCTATACTATTCTCTAGGAGTTCTTTAATTGCATTTACAGGACGTTGTATTACTTCACCAGCTGCAATTCGATTGATTACTTCCTTCGGTAGACGTTTAATGATCTGTGGCATTGATTTATCTGGACTTAGCAGTAGTAAATTAGCGGAGGATTTAGAATTATCATCTGAGTTTAGTTTATCCATTTGGCTGAAGGTTAGTGGTGAATTTCGCACATAACATTTAATATCCTATGAGGAATAATAAACACCTTCACTACAGTAGTAACCTTGAAAAGTACTGTAGACTTTCGTTCAGATCAGAATATTTTACTTGAAAATGAAAAAAAACAATTGGTTAAAAAAACTGAATAATGCAAAGCATTAAAAGAAAGTATGACTACATAGAATGTCTAACAAAGATAAATCGATGTAACAGAAAATCACTATAAGATTAAGCATATCAAGTAATAATAAACAAATATTTAATAAAATGGGTTTCGCGAGATGAATTAGAAGTTAGTTTTCGTCAGGGACTGACAAAAGCTGGAGAAGCATAGAAAGTCAAAGAACACTAAACATTTGCTTCGTTTTATTTTGGGGACTTCAAAACATTGAGCACCTACGATCTAGCATCTAACCAAATGTAAAACCTTCAGGTCTTCAGGAGGTCGAAAAAGTCAAAACACAATGATTAATGAAGTCGCCAAGTAATACGGTCACCAACAGTTAAGAAAGTGTAGGGACTGTGTAAGTTTGTTATGATACTGCAGAGATCATAAACAAATCAGTTTCAGTTTCCATAAAATATTTCACACGAGGACAAAATAACTAGTATTGAAAATAAACTAAGTCAGTGGCCAGATTCTAATAGGTTAAACCCTTTCAACAAGCTATATTCTCTCATAGTTGACCTTTTTAATCGGACTGTCATATTTATATCGTAATCACTATAACATTTTTCCTAGAAGCTAGACTTCATACTGTTGATGCTTTTAATTTATGCAAACTGGAACGCAGCTCAGTTGAAACGAACATGACTGAAATAATCAGGCCAAACTGACAGGCAAGAAAACTTGATAAATAATGACTGAATGAAATAATATTTTGGGATATCAAACAAATTTCTGCTCCAAGTTACGACTATGTTTTTAACCAATTTAAATAATTACATTTCCAATATTTATCTTGACGAACTATTTAGCTTATTCTCATAAGGAACAATTTAACTGACTAAAAATACATATTTGAAGCAATTAATCCCTTTGATAAATTTGGATAGTGTAATAAGTAGACGAAGATTATCAGAACTATTTGAAAAAATATATTTTGAAGTGATTCGTAAATGGAATGAAAATCAAGATTTTTAATTGTTAACAAATACCAGCATAGAATATATTCATCTTAGATTAGTCAATGCTAGGATCACAAGACTAATGTGTGATTTATTTGTATTATGACTAAATAATCTAGTCTGTTGGATGAGGACTATATAAAAAATTAGGTAAATAAAAAGTAAATAACAAATTCTTTTTATAGTCATTTTTAAGGAACACTACAAAAAGAAGTCATTCATGCATAATTTGTGATAAAAACGCATAAATTTGACTCAGAATACACCCAGATCTCATAGAGATAAAAAGTGCGACAGAGTTCCAACCTCTATATATTCGAGTGGCTTTACTCGATTTCCCTAAATACTTAACTATTTAGTTGGAATTTTCCACTATCTCTCCAGAATGCCAAACTTACGATAACACTCACACATAAAATCAACGACTGTGAACCAATTATTATTCAGCTGACCATCAATTTTCAGAACTGAAACACTGTCTAACAATACGATATTAACTCGTTTTGTATATATAAAGTTGGACCATTATTGTTATCATTAAATTCAACAGAAAAATGAATTGTGTTAAATGAAAACAAGTGATTTACAATAATTTTAATATAATATGAAGCAAATGTTGTTTAAATACATAAACAACAGTAAGAAATCAACTATTGGACAGATAAATTAACAGTAAAAACAAACAAAAGAAAAGAGACAAAATAAAGAAAGACAAGGAGGTAGTGATAATCATAATAATAAACATGGTTTTACAAAATAATATGGGATGGAGGAGGAAAAAGTTATTTTGCTCAATGAAGTTTACAAAATAAATATCGACTAGCTGGACATAGCGGTCAAATAGCCCTGTAATATATACGTTTTTTTTCATTTCAGCTACTTCATACAATTTAAATATGGAGCTATACAATAAGCTGCATAACATCTTGATATAACAGGCAAATGATTTTCATATTTAGCAAGTGATAATTTCAAACGTTTAGGGCGTGACTGAGTTGATGTTCTATGCAAGTTATTTGATGATGTTGAAGATGATGATCTTAACTGCCAACCTTCAGAAAAATGACATGGTCTAAATGGAGCTTGTAAGATATTTGGACGAATATAATTTCCGACAGAAAATTGTTCTAACAAGTTAGGAGAAATATTTTGATCATTATCAGTAGTAGTTATTTGTCCAACCATCACAGAATCCTCATGATCTACATTGATTAACGAAGTTAACAATGAACTCGGTGTATTCTCAATGACTTCATCAATCGTAATACCACCAATCACATACAATCTATCGTACAGTACAAATGAGAAAGCATTGTAACGTGGAAAATCTAGTACAGTGACCTGAGTCCAACAATTCTAAAACACAAAAAAAATATTTCAGTTATTTAACAATTCGATGAAAACATAAGGAACAAAATAATACAGTTGACAATATCACAAAATATAAATAACCTGAATATTAGTACTTTTGGTTAATATAGATAAATTACAAACATGTAACCATTGCATTATATCGAAAATTATTCAATTGCCGATAGTGAACTTGATGAAATGTAAATTGCTTAAACAACTCAACAATGAATACAAACCTTTATTACTATAATTAACAATTAAAAAGAATAGATAGATGGAAAATTGAATAAATGAAAAACAAAACAATAAAAAAATACAGTGCTCACTGAAAAAACAATTTTTTTCCTAAATAAAATCCATCAAAACAGTAAGTCAGTCATAAACAAGGTAGAGTCTGACATATATATGTATTGGGTCAATTGGACATAACACATTACCCCGACGAGATGAGTAGCAAAGAAATCGAAATGATGTAGTATCAGTAGTAATGAGAAGAATCAAAGACTGATAATATGAACCAAAAAGATAGTGAAAAGGTAAGTAAGTAATGACAATACTTGTTTGGTCAAAAGCATAATTTTATTCTATTATTATATATTCGACCAGGTTGTTTTTATTGTTCTCCAGATGATAGTTCAATGGTTGGACATGTAAGTAAAAATTGTGGAAAAAATAACTCAGACTCTTCTAAACAGATCCAAAAGATCAGTCAATACAGTACATTTTCCTATTTTAGTTGTTACGAAAAACAAAATAAACTGTTAATTCACTTTTTAATTCTTCTTATCTTTGTATGGTAAAGAATTCTGTTTTAACTGACCTACTATAAACTATCTCTAATTGTCTCCCGACCATATCTGAACTTGACTGATTTCACACTAATACCCTTACTCTTTTGACATTTAATCTACTGTGCAGTGTTATTTTTAGTGGATGACCGCCCATACAACGAATTTTGCTCATCTATGTTCAGTAATTTTTGTATTTCAAAGATTAGAAACCATTTAAACTAAAATTTACTGACGAAGCTTTCAAAATGTCGTTTTAGGGGACATTAACAGCTGCTAGTGATTAACTAAATGTTCTAGCTCAGAGAACGCAAAAACATTGTCTAAAGCAGCTGACCTGTTTATTCTTCTAGACACCATAAACTATATACATGAAACATTTATCTGAAAGCTTTCAGTAAAGTTCCCCGTTTTATATTCCAATATAATAATATTTATTACGAGTGTCAAATTTTTATTCAGATACTGTTAAACTCAGAAATAAACTGGTTAACAGATTATACGAAATTCAAAAACTGAGCTAATAAAGAGAATTTAGTTGACTATGACACTATGATCTTAATCTGGTTCCCGTTTATAAGCTCAATCCACGAAATCATATCACATATTTACCTGATGAACGGTCGTTGCTGGGGAACGACAGCATAAAATGTATAGTATATTGCTCCCAAATGCCCTGGTACGGCTGAAAATGGGGAGAGCCTGCTCTCCTTTGAATGCTCTCACATGGCCACGCGTATAGAGCCACTGTCAGAGAAGTCCTACTCACTGCCTTCTCGCGACGGGGATGTTGTTTACGAAATCGAGAGAACGGAAAGCGAATGTCCGCCACTCTAACTGGGATAGTGGATACGGAGGATCCACCTAGGGGAGTTGAAAAACCCTGATTCCAAGCCAAGGGTGCACATGAGTCCCAGGATCCTGAAGGAACAAATGGCGTGTGAACCAATTATTGGTCACCGGCTACCATGGGACTGCATCTCCTGACGTTGCTCCACTGCCTTGTGGATCAGACCTTTATGTCGAAGGCTCCGGATGTAGCTGCTTAAGAAAACCACCTGCTTCGGCCTGAGCACCCGGGAAGTATCACAGCCCA